AACGATGTAAACACGATATTGATAATACATTATATACATCGCGATGTTACCGATGTCACCGATGTAAACAGTATATTAGAGTTGTTACAATTTAAACGATGTTGACAATATATCTTGTTAACATTGTTAATATCGCAATGTAAACGATGTAAACACTACATCGTTACTACATCGTATACATCGCGATGTATACGATGTAAACGATGTAAACAGTATAAAACAGCTGTTACAATGAAAACGATGTTGACACAATATAGTGTTAACATTGTTGATATCGCGATGTAAATGATGTAAACTCGATATCTTTACAACATTGTATACATCGCGATGTTAACGATGTCAACCATGTAAACAATATATAAGAGTTCATACAATATAAACGATGTTGACACGATATCGTGTTAACATTGTAAATATCGCGATGTCGACAATATTGTTTTAACATTGTGCACTGGACATGGATGACAAAAACAGAGGTGATCTCAGGTGCTCCGGAACTGTAATCAGATCCTGCTCCACATGCGACATAAGAGATTCATAGACTGCAAGCGGCTAAATATGTGTAAAGGTTCATAAAAAAAATGTCCACAAAGTTTAGCTTTTTTCAATTTTATATCTTTCTAATGCTGTCCAGGTGCTGTCTTGTCAGACTATGTAACAACCGAATCACGAAGCACAACACAGACTTTGAACCTGTACCAAAACACAATTCACAACACCAACAGGATCTAATAGGAACAGTCAAGAAAATGTGAATCACTTCTATTTACAGTTATTTAGAAAATATTCGTTGTGGGAATAAAGAAGAATTGTTTTCTCCTATACACTTGCACTAATGTATGGACACTTTAAGTTTAAACTTGAAAAACATTTTAATGTATTGGCACGTACTACATAACATTAGCACATTACTAATTGATTAATTTTCAAGAATAAAAAGAAGAAGAGAGGCAAAAGATATCAAAAGGGACATTAAAACTCATAAGTCTAAAATAATCTTACAATGCCATGGCAAAAAAAAAAGAGAAAAAGATTAAAAGACAAAAAAAACAAAACAGTATACAAAACACAACATAGAAAACTAAAGACTGAGCAACACGAACCCCACCAAAAATCGGGGTTGCTCCGGAAGGTTAAGCAGATCCTGCTCCACTAGGAACACACGTCGTATACGTTACTCCTTATAGGTTGTAAAACGAGACAAATTCTGTGTAACTAATTTGATTAGACTTTCAATTTCACTATTGACAATTACATTGTCCATGTACAAGGCAGCTGCAACTTCCAAGTGTTATATGCGCTATTCGATTGTAACAACATATATATATAGACATGTCACAATTTGGAAGCTGAGATCATCTCTGTTAACACAAAGTTTTGTTCTCAACCAACCCAGCTTGTCATTTTCTAGATGTAAGTCAATATAGGGGGTAAACGTAAATGTATTTGGCATCCTTTATTTTAAGTTCCATTGGATAGATGCGTTCAATATAGTCACAAAAATAACATATTAAGTAGACCTGCGTATGTACAGCGCTTCCTTAACAACCAGATTGAAATAATCAGTGTGACTGAAGCTAACATGAGAACAGTAATGTTTACTTTCCTCACTTTTCATAATTTCATTTGAATATTTTAGGGTAGAAACTACTAAATGCATTGTACTAACAAAACGAATGTTGATTACAAACATAGTTATCCAATATACGAGCATGGCTTCAATTTCGAAGGTGTCTCCCAGATATATACCGGTGTTAAATCTGTTGTTGTCTATGTAATTAATGCTCCAAACTAGACTATTGTAAGGGCGGCTCAGACATGTAAAAGCTGGTTAATTTATCAATGTTAACTTATTGTAGATGCTAGTTCAAAGATAGACGTCATCAATATTCAATTTTGTAGTATGGTTGCTGTCTCCTTAAAACGTTTTAATTATCCGTAAATATGAGACATTTTTATTTACTGACGTCACTTTGAATAAAGCTACATGTATACTATCATGTCATCAAATTCTGTTTTGATACATATTACTAAAATAAATTAAGTCTATAAAAACACACACTTTCTTCACGATAATTTACAACAGAAAACCATTTTCCCAGTGTAAACATGGAAATTGAATCGACATGTTCTTCTCGGCATTTTTACCGTCCGGTGACGCTGTCCATGAATTTATCTTTATACATGTGTTTGCCTGCATGTCATAATCTTATCCGATGGTGCAATCTGAAGATAAAAACATGAAGAAATATTTGTTTACTTTTATAAATTTGACTTGGATGGAGAGTTGTCTCATTGGCACTCATACCACATCTTCTTATATCTCAATATGAAAGAAAAAGATCAGAACATAAAGAATGTACAGAAATGTTTAATATAAAAATAATTAGATGTGGTATGATTGCAAATGTGACAACTACCCACCTGAGTTTGAATGACGTTGATGTAAGCAACTATTAGTAACCTTCAACAATGAGTAAATCTATAACCGTATAACCATATCTAAAAAAGGCCCAGACATAAACAAATGGAAAACAATTATATCGAGAAAATCATCGGCCTTGTTTATGATGCCACAAACGAAAAATATTTATGGAAGACAGCAACAAATGACAATCACTAAATTTCAGGCACATACTTGGAACATGTACATAAAGAATAAGTTTTAAAAATACAATTAAAACTATAATATAGCTTAGGCTATATTGCATAGTTGTCAACCGGCTTCTTTTGTCTGATCATCTTGGGTGGCAAATAATGAGCCACAAAAACATCTACCCATCAGATACCAACGATAGAGCAATGCAAAATAAATTATTGGTTTTCTTAAAAGAGAGGCGAAAGATATCAAAGGGACATTCATAAGTCGAAAATAAACCAACAACGCCATGGCTAAAACAAATACCAACAGACAAACAGACAAACAACAGTACACAAAACACAACACAGAAAACTAAAGACTGAGCAACACGAACCCCATCGAAAACAGGGAGTGACCATTGTTTTGTATTCAATGGAGAAGTCCGGAATTTGATACGGAGATTGTATTCAATAATAAACAAGATGTTATTAATAATATATGCAATAGGCTTTAAGGGTCTTTTAATAATTCAATCAGTTGACAAAAATGTTTAATTATCCAAAATACAAAGAAGTAAAATACATAAGAAATGCAACACAAAAGTTAAAAGAGTAAGATGATACCAACAGCAGCCTAAAAATACTAAATAGAACACTGACGACTAGAAGAACCTTGGTTATCGCAGGTGCTTCGGAAAGATAAGCAGATCCTGTTTCAATTTAGGTACCCTTCTTGTAGCAAATGGAAACTTAGCTTGGGTTTAAAGGTAAGTTAACTTGTTTTTCTTCCGTCCGACAGTGAATCCTTCGGTCAATGGCTGTCTGTTTTGCTATACCGGGTGTATAAATACGCGGCCATGTCGGGTCTGAATTGGGGAGATGTAGGTTGCCTGTGAAAAGGCAAATTTCAAACCCTTATCCATGTTTATTCCCGCCTATTATCCCGATAAATCCGTTATGCAGAACCAAATAAGATATTTCAAATTGTTTCTGTTCTTTTCAAGAATATTCACAACCTGTTTCCAGCATAACGTCAAACAGCAACGAATCAATCAACCATGAACAATTTTACAACCTAAATACACGTACAAACGAATTTATATTACCAAAAAACTTATTGCATTTCTTCTAATTGCTGTTCATCTTTTATGCCAAGTATTTTAGAACAAAGTTCATACCCATTAACCAGATATCTGTATCCAGTTTTGAATGACACAACATATATTGGACTATCTTCTCATATTGCATTCTGTGTATTAAATATAATTGTGTTATGTAGATATTGGGAACATCTCAAAATTCATTTTCTGGTAAAATTCTTAAAACATATTATTAGAAAAAGATAGTATATAATTGTAAACTAAATAATGATTTGATTGTTTGATTGGTGTTTTAACGCCACTTTCATCACTGTTGTGTTTTTTCGTGGTGTCAGTTTTTACTGGTGGAGGAAGCCGGAGTACCCGAAAAGAACCACCGACTGACAATCCTAGTCAATGAAGATATGAGTCGCACGCACCTGCCACGTGCAGAATTCAAACTCACAACCTCGGTGTTGACAGACTAGTGATACAGTAGTTTGACTACTTAGACCACTCGGCCTCCGAAGTCCCTAATAATGATTGACTATGATTTTTTTATGATTTAAAATTTGATTCGTTACTTACTTGACAACATTGACAATCATCAATGCATTCAGCATTTTCACAAATTCACAGTTTCTCATCAGAAAAACCCCAAAACCAACGCATCACTGTTGTTTTTTTAATCTGCATTAGTTTACAAAATGTATTGTATATTTCTGTTAAAAGAAAGTTTACGATGACGTCTTTTTTTTTAGATGACGGTAACGTAAGCAGGTGCGTTTGTAGTCATCTTTATTTCATGTATACAGGAATGGTATACTGAATTTCATCATTGCGTATGAAAAAGGTTAAAATTAAGAGCTTCTCATTGCGTTGCTGTCTTTTAAAGATGTATTTTATTTGATAATTAAAACTTTAAAAGTACCTTTAAATTACAGTCTGATGATTTGCCATGTGTTGCATAGCTATGTCTATTTTCGTGTTGAATTGATCGAATGTACTGCAGACTCTTCCTAGTAAGTCAGTTATTAGTAAACACCCTGCTGATTTGCAATGTGTTGCAAAAATATTTCTATTTTTGTATTGTTTTTATCAATTGTACTTTGTGCTCTTCCTGGTACGTCAAAATTATGAATAAATATAGATTCCTGAAAAGCCAATGAAATTTCTCTAACTCTCGTTTTCTTCTTTCGTATAGGCAGATAATTATTATTTTGCTGTAACAATGTTAAAATAGTCAGATAATTATTATTTTGCTGTTACAATGTTAAAAAATAACAAAAGTAATCTACGTAGTATACGCATGCGCAGTAAACTGTCTACTAATGCTTGTAGGATTGTTTAACTTTGCATCATCTGACACAGGACGCGTTTACATGTAAGTACAGACATTAATTAATGTTAATCTTTTCATTTAACCACCACCATAATTTGCGAATTCATAAATTCATACAAAAGTATGCCTTTAATTTATTTTTTAATTGATAATATTGCGCCTGCTTATCGAGGCTGTTCTAAGGATCTGTCCTAAGGCCTATCTTAGGAATGAATTATGATAATGTTAGGACCGACTTACGACCTGTCTCAGCATGCAATTGGAAGCTTTCATAGGACTATCTTAGCTAGGATGTCCTAACCTCTGTCCTAAGTGTTATGCCATGCCACAAAACCAGATTCAACCCACCATTTTTTTCTTAAAATGTCCTGTACCAAGTCAGGAAAATGGCCATTGTTATATTATAGTTCGTTTCTGTGTGTGTTACATTTTAATGTTGTGTATTTGTTGTGTCGTTGTTCTCCTCTTATATTTGATGCGTTTCCCTCAGTTTTAGTTTGTAACCCTTATTTGTTTTTATCTCTATCGATTTATGAGTTTCGAACAGCGGTATACTACTGTTGCCTTTATAAAGCGTAAAGAAAAAAATGATTTAAAAAATTTAAATGCTTAAGAATGGATCGAATTATAAGATTTAGAATTACAAATATTAATAGCATTATTAAAAAGATTGTTTATAATATGTAACTAATAATTGTACATTCAAACTTTATAAAACATCAACAAATGTAACAACGTTTGATATAATAATTGAAAAAAAATTATTTGTAAATAGTTAAAACTAATAAAAGATAATCGGTAGCAATCATTATTTATTTTTGAAGGAGTATAATTCGAAATGTCACATGTAAAAAGTAAAATAACAAAAAATACCGAACTTCAAAGTCCTTTATAAAATGGCAAAATCAAAAGCTCAAACACATCTAACGAATAGAAAACAACTCTCATATTCCTGACTTGGTACAGGCATTTCTTTATGTGAAAAATGGTGGATTAAACCTGGTTTTATAGCTAGCTCAACCTCTCACTTGTGTGACAGTCGCATAAAATTCCATTATATTGACAACAATGTGTGAACAAAACAACAGACATAATAGGCAAAAATTTCAAAAATAGGGGTACAGCAGTCAACATTGTGTTTTAATCTTAATCACTTTTTTTTAAATATAAAAGAATATTTACTTATTAAATACTGAAATACAATTCGATATATTAAGAAAAAAAGGGATCCATTCCCTAAGCGCCTGAGTTACAGAGGTGAAAATCTATACTTGCGTATAATATCAATGTCACCCAAATAGTTCAGTGGATTGCACAGGGAAATTTCACTCGCACCAATTTCACGCGATTTAAATTCATGTAAATCTCACGTGAAATTCACGTAAATTTCACCTCAAACGAGCTTATACACGTTTGAAACTCACGTTTTATCAGTTTATGTGAGTTTCACGTGAATCTCATGTGAAACTTACGTGAATTTCAACTTAAAATCATGTGAGATTAAAGTGAATTTCACAAGAGCAAATTTTGCCTGTGTATTATAATAGTCCCTAAGCGATCTATTGCTACAAAAACATTTAATACTGCTCTCTAGATGAACATATATTTTATAGCTGGTGGTCGTATTTGTTTACAAATTAACCTTCATAACATATATCCTAAAGTTAGGACCATCCTAAGACTATCTTAAGACACCTCAATAGTGTACTAAAGTAAGGACGATTCCTATAAGTTTTCCTAAGTTACGACATGTTTGATAAACCCACTTAGGACAAAGATACGTCATAAGACGATCTTTGGACATGTCCTAGTCCTAAGAGTGCTTCTGAACAGCGGTATAGTACTGTTGCCTTCATTTATCGATAAAGAGGCCCCTGATTTCTCCATGTTGAAAGTTTCACAATCGTATTTCAATCACTAAATAAGCATATATAATATGTATAAATCCATTGCAAAATTTTGTATACTCTGGTAAACATTGTTTGCATTATGGGTTTTTGTTCGTTGTTATAATTCTATTATGGTTTAAAAATCGAAATCATGTTTTATGGGATTAAATTTTTATTCTTTAGAATATAAAGGAGCCATTTTGATTTGATTAATCAATTATATCTAAAGTGAAGCATTTTTCTTTCATGATTGGAAGTGTAAAAATACACTGATATTTAAAATAAAAGGTTTTATTGAATATCCTATTGAGCAACTCCATCATTAATGTGAAAAAAAATCCAGCTTCGCTTTAAATACAAATGACATTACAAATTATGTTTCATTGGATTTCGATCGTGACATTGATAAAAGGCAATAGAGGGGATATATTGAATAATCTTTTCATTTGCATATAAACCGCATTACACAACTACCATGTGTCAGTCATCTGTACATCTAGCATTTATTTTTGTTATTGGAAGGCAACATGCCGAGCACATCATAAGAATACTTTTCTGAAAATCTCCCACAAACAAAGTTGAACTTAAATGAATTTGGCTATTATTTTTTTGGTGCTTTTTGGTCATATAGCTCTTCAACTGTTTTGGTTCTTATAAATCCTTGGATTTCAAATAAAATATATAACTTTTGACGTTACTGATCCTGGGTAAAGTAGGATAAACGGTACTGTAGTTCCATCGGAAGAACAGAGGAGTAATTCGGTTTAACCTAAGAAGTAAATCAGTCTATATGTACATAAGTTGACAGACTAAAAGGTCAACAGGTTGACACTTGAAAGTTTGACAAGTGTTAAGGTCGACAGGTTGACAAATGTAATGGTTAACAGTTTGACAGGTTGACAGGTTTAATTTTACAATTCAGTTTTTTGATGTTTTTATTAAGTCTTGACTTATAACTGTCTACCTGTTGACTATCGACCTGTAGACCTGTCAACCTGTCGACTGTCAACCTGGTAACCACTATTAAAGTTTCCATTTCTCACCGTCAAATTGTCAACCTGTCGACTTGTCGACCTGTTTACCAGTCACCAGTAATACTATTTTACACTATATAAATTCTTTCAAATTGTCAACCTGTCGACTTGTCAACCATAACTTCAATTTTCACTATATTAAATTTTCAACTTGTCAACTTGTCAAAGAGAGGGACAACAGATACCAGAGGGACAGTCAAACTCATAGATCGAAAACAAACTGATAACGCCATGGCCAAAAATAAAAAGACAAACAGACAAAAAATAGTACAGATGACACAACATAGAAAACTAAAGACTAAGCAACACGAACCCCACCAAAAACTGGGGGTGATCTCAGGTGCTCAGGAAGGGTAAGCAGATCCTGCTCTACATGTGACACCCGTCGTGTTGCTTATGTTATTACAAATGCGGTAAATAGTCTAATTCGGTAAGTCACATTCGTGAAAAGGGAAGGGTATTGTAGTTACGACATAAGGAACATATCCGATATCATCTGTGAAACGGTTATTCCATAACGGTCAACCATCTCGTGATGGCGTCCGTAAAATTTACAAAGGGATGATTTCAACTTCACCATTTGGAACTCTTGGTTTAATACCTTCGTTGTGAGCAGCAATCCTCTATCAAGGAAATCATGATAGGAAACACAAGCCCGGGAATATCGTATCAATTGGGAGATATATACGGCGTATGCGGGCGCTGCTGGAATGTTGCTACATAGAAATGGAAAGTTCACAATTGGGAAGCTGAAATCATCTCTTTTGTCGTAAAGTTTTGTTTTCAACCGACCCTCATTGTCAATTTCTAGATGTTAGTCAAGATATGAGGCAGACTTAACTGTATCTGTAGTATCCTTTATCTCTAGTTCGATGGGATAGATTCGTTTAACATAGTCACCAAATTTTGTATTATTTAGTGAGAGACCTGTCGACCAGTCAACCATACAAATATTTACATTTTTAACATTGTCAACTTGTTGACTTGTAAACCTGTCAACCAGTCAACTTTAAAAACATTTGCATTTTTAACACATTGTCAACCTGTCGACATGTCAACCTGTCAACCAGTCATTATTTTTTTTTCATTGTATAATTTAAATATCTTTATTGCCTTTTGCCCATGAATACATACGCGTATGAATTTATTATAAAAGCAGGAACTATAGTACCGTATATCCTACTTATAACAAAAAGAGTAAGCAATATGATAGTACCAAAAGATCTTATACAAAACATAAAACTATGATATATAGCTATATTTGGAATGGAAAAAGAGATATGATTAAAAGAGATATTTTGTCACAAATTTATACTGAATGTGGATTAAACATGTTTTGTATAGATAATTATATTTCAACAATTCAACTCAAACGGATTAAACCATTACTGTTTGAAAAAAATGTTGAACAAAATTGGAAGATAATGCCAAAATATTGTATAAATAAGATAGGAGATAACTTTTTAATATTCAAGATGAATATAGACAATATGAATTTAATTGAAAAAAAAATATAATAAAACACTTTCCAGGGTTGTATCAGCATTTAATAAAGACCTGGATAAAAGCGAAAGAAAAAACAATACAAAAGCCTACCATGTTTTGAGAAATATGGAAACAAACAATATTGGACAACAAATATATTCAAGTCAACAATAAGTGTTCACTGTTCAAAAGCTAGATACAGAGCCACATTCTAGTTATGAATAAATTAATAGATGATGAAGGAAACATATCTTCCAACATCATACGAAGTAAACTTAAACATAAGGAAAACTTCATTGCTGAACTAACAAAACTGAAGAAAGCTATTCCAAAACAGTGGACCAATATCATCAAAAACTCACCATCTAAACGTTACCCAAGTTAATATAAATAAAAATGAAAATCCTAATATCATAAATAAAAAACCTATTCAATTCCTACATAACCATGGCATTTATACCTTTTTACTAAAATCAAGAGGAATACAAACACCCATTGGCTTTTCAAAATGTAAATTAAATCACGTTTGACACTAAAAAATACGAACCCTGCATATGAAATATTGAAAGTTATCTTTACAATTCTAAAGAATGTGACCTACCGAATTAGACTATTTACCGGATTTGTAATAACATAAGCAACACGACGGGTGCCACATGTGGAGCAGGATCTGCTTACCCTTCAGGAGCACCTGAGATCACCCCCAGTTTTTGGTGGGGTTCGTGTTGCCTAGTCTTAAATGCTCATATGTTGAATCCTACTTGAAGGAAGTTCAACAAACTCTCGAGAAATTAAATATTACAAGACATGCTATTAATCTGAAAAGTATAGTTTTTGACAATAATTACATTAGATGTATGTTTCATTATAATACGTTATTCTGATTGGCTACACTGCAATATCGCGTTATTCCTTAATCAACTTCATTACACAGTAAAATTTATCATTCATGATGACACGAGGTCCCACAATAAAGTGCACAGGTAAATAGAAAAAAAACTTGATAGAAATCGTGTTTGCATGCTCCTAGCTAGAAAAATGTAATTATAAGTATTGAATGTTTCTTTTTGTAACTTCATAGGGTTGTAAAAGCGTTGACCGTGCGCACATTTTTAGAATGAAGCGCTTCCGCGCTTCATACAAAATGTACTTCGGTCAACGCTTTTACACCCCAATGAAGTTACAAAAAGAAGCATTCAATTCTTAAATGAAGTATATGATAGGGAGTATTATGAACTTAATTTACCTCTAACCTTAATTAGTTACACTATATATAAAGGACAATATATGTCAGAAAAAAAGGTAAACTCTGCTGGTGGACTATCAGTCCCCATGGTATCATCAGCTCAGTAGTCGAAACTTCGGTACTGACATGATTTAACAAACTTTTCTAAAATTGTCCGTTTTTAAATTTTGAAATTATTAAGAAACTAAGATTTCAACTCCCTCAGGCAAAGTTGACTTTAGATGAATTTGGCTATTTATTTTAGGTATTTTTGTCATATAGCTCTTCAACGGTTTCGGTACTTATACTTCCTCGGATTCCAAATGTTTGGATTTGAGCGTTCCTGATGAAGGTAACTCCAGAAAAGCGCTTCGGACGCATGAAATTATTAAACGTGTTGTTTTAAATTTTTTTTCACTCAAAATATTTAGACACGAAATCAGAAAATATTTTGAGACAAGAAACTTTTTAGGATACAAGATTGGTATATTATTTAGAAATGCGAGCTATTTAATAAATTAATTCAAAATAGAAATATAACGAAAGTGAGGTGAACTTGATTTACATAATGAGATAAACTTTCTATTTTTATAAAAAATAATACTTTTTTTCAATTATAGCTAGTACTACTGTAAATTCTACATAAATGTGTGTCTACCTACTTTTTTATTTTTTGAATAGAGCTTTGACTGTATTTTTCTACAACTGTAGTTTTATTCTTGTTGTGTTGTATTACTAGTCTCTTTTTATTGCTGTCAACTAACCATTCACTGGTTCAATGATATTCAAGATATAAGGTATATAATATGACAAGAACACTTAGTAAATGAATATTACCTTCAACTGAAAAAAATAAAATAACAGAAATACCGAACTCCAAGGAAAATTTAAAACCGAAATGATCTGATAAAATAGCATCCGATTTTACTGTAGATATATATTTTGTAAACACATTTTGATCAAACACAGAATAAAATGACGACATATCACAATTTCTGCAAAACAAATGTTTTGAAAAGAAAATTCCATGGCTAATCCTTTTGATCAGATATACTCCGTACTAAGCACTACACGTGTTAATCAAACTATTTTGTAACCAAAACAATAAATTAAAAAAAAAAAACATTTTTGCCAATTCGTTCCCGCGTAAGTTGGTACTCAAGTTAAAATACTATGCAACTCCTAATTGGATGATGCAGGGTTGAAAATATTTTTAATTGAAAACTTATCATTGAGGTCTAAAAAAAATCAGAAAAATTCATTCATATTTAACAAATTGTGAAACATATATTCAATATATTTAGCAAGGAGCCTTTAAATAAAGGCAACAGTAGTATACCGCTGTTCAATAGTCACAAATCGATCAAGCAAAAACAAATCTGGGCCATAAACCAAAACCAAGGGAAACAACGGAACAGAAACACTGAACTGCAACAAAAACCAACGCTTTAAAATTTGCCTTTCTTATTAAGTGCGGGAGTTAGTCTTTTTTCAGCTGCATTTTAGATTTACTGCGGCCGTATGAACATACATGTATATTTTTATGCCTGTTATACAACGCTAACCTAACTGATACCATGAATGCGTTATTAGTTGGTGTTTGTTTATTCTTTTAAAAAAACAAATATGGAACACTACTAGTACCCTATGGAAATTACCCTTTATTTTTAGCCACTTAACATAATGTGTGTTGTCAAATTCATCAATCTAAAGTAAGAACAGCTTAAACAGGGAATACCTTTAGAGATAAATTGAATAATATTCAAAAACGCTTGCATACACGTTCAGTGCAAAAATACACGGGTTTTTTAACATTTCATTGTAAGGATATTTGGCATTTTGAATTTTATCATAAAAACTAAAGGATATCGTGTTGGACTTGGAAAAAAACTCCTTCTAGGCAATTTCATTTCTATAAATAATGAAATAAAATTTTAAATTATTTTAAAAGAATTTATGTTGAATATGTTGAATCTTATTTAGAATGTTTTTGTAACCTTTCCAGAACTCATGATTATATATAAAAGTGTATTAATTATCAAAATGGCAAGAAAGGGTCAAAAGAAAATAAAAATAAATACATGACAATTATTTTTATACCATACCTTCTTCAAAAACATAGGATCATGATTCGTGAATCAACAGGAACCATATGGATCTTACAAAGACGGGTATTTGAATAGAACAAAAATAATCAAAGGCATTCCTATCTCAATAAGAAAAACTGATTTAAAAAAAAGAAATGTAAATGTATTACAAAATTAGAAAGGAAAAACAGAAAACATCTTATAAATTCCAATCAAATGTGAGGATATCTACATATTACATGAACCAGTTAAATATTAGGATCTTCATCTAAAGTCAACATATTTCAGGGAACCAATGGTTTTGTTTTGATCGTTCTGGAAGCAGGACATATTGGTTTACATAGAGGAGATAAATTTAGGACAATAACCTTTATCCCCATATCAAACAAATTGTGGCAAGTATATTTCTGAAGTTAGATTATTTAGAAATATATCGTTTTACAGGAATTGGAGGAATACGGAGAAAAAGTTTAAACATGTTGTATCCAGTAATTATCATTCTGACCGTCAGCACGATACATGAAAGTTATGCTTCCTGGTGCTCTAATCAGACTCAGGCAATGTGTTCGTGCTTTCAGACATCGATTTCGTGTTCCGAACAGCCCAGTTTAACGCAAATACCTAGTAATATTCCAACAGATACCACGTACTTGTGAGTAATGTTGTATACACATATTTTATATTAGATATATTCCAAACTCATGGACTTCAAGTAAAACCATTCGCTTAGAAAATTTTATACACACCAATTATAGACATTATAGTCTTAAATTGAAGGCAATCGTGTTACAAAGATTTCTCTGATAGTGTTAGTACATGCATTAATTGAAACACAAGAAAAAGCAGATGTGGGATTCGTAAATGTTTCCTGATATACCAAAGTCCTTAAAATTAATTACTGATGATAGAAGACACCATTTTATGTTCTGAAGAATGTAACAACAAACCAGTTTACCTTTAACATTGAATGGAATAAGCCTGAATATCCTTTAACTACAAACATATATGAGTTATCAAATTGATATTCAATGGAAACAAATAATTGGTATGCGTATGCATATGTTTTGACCTTGTGTATTTGGTTTGAGTTTTAGTATTGCTTTACCTGAGTATATTTGTCTACCTTTGAAATGAAAATAACAGTTTATAAAGTTGTCGTTAATTTTCCAATTAAACTTGCCTTGTTTCTTTTATGTAACAAACATACTATTTTTGTGTATTATCAAATAAGTCGATACCTGTATACGTATTTTCATCAATAAAACAAACTGGTTATTATAAGCTTTTGTCACTACTTAATCGGGAATTTTTTCTAGGCCCTCTTTTTATAATAAAGTCATTTGACTTATCTTACCTTTACAAAAACAATCCTTAAGCAAAGAGAGCAATTCACTAACGCAAAATGTTACACAAAACTTACTTAACATAGGGCATAGGCTTGGGAGCTCTCAGAGGAAGGCAGTTTCTTCGTCAGGAACTCTAGTCTTGTAACAGTCCCTGTGAGTTCAAAAATAGTATTTTTTCATTATTGTAGGATTTATCGTTGTCTTTCGTCTAGCGTGTGTTGTTACGGCCAGAGAAAATCGCCTTTTAATTGTAGACAACAAAAACACAAATCAATAATAAAATTTAACAAGATTTATTATACATAAGTTTACAAGAAGTATTACACAAAATGAAATGTCAACTTAACTGTCAAAATATATGTCCGATCTTTGTCGTTTCTTTATCCGGACATCTTCCCGGGAATCCAGGCAGAATATTACGTCCAACAGGTCACAATCTTGTATGATGTAGTTTGTAAAATAAAAGTGTCTATCCAACTGCTGAGGATATTAATGTCTATCGATGTCTATATCTATATCTGTAAGTTTAACTTTAGTGTCTATATATATATTGTCACGGAAATCTCTAGAACACTGTAGAAAGGAAACTTTTAGAATTACGCATCTTTTATTATGATCATTCTGTAAGTAAAATAGAAAGTTCTAATCATTCCATCAGTCTCTTTGATTTTTCCAGTGACTTCTAAACTGCACAGTTACAATATCATTTTGTAAACAATTACAAATTATGTAAACATATTATTTGGCCACACAAAACAAATTAGGCCAACTAAATAAATATATTAGTTACAATATCATAACAGTGTCCAAATACGGTAACAATGCTATTTTTATTTTGTTATAGCATGATGCAATAAACTCATGTATGTCTGTTCCAAATATGTTGGAGTGAATGTAGAAACCATGCACACGTTGAAAAAAGTATGCGTGGTACTGACGATAATAGAAATGGAACGATAAGTCTAAAAAACGTCTCACTTTTTGAAAATTATGGCTATGGTAGATGGTTGCAACATTCAAATTGAAAATTCAAATAATTAATGATCAATGAGGAGTTATTATAAAAGTCATTAGTTGGTATCCCAAACTGCAAAACAAATTGACTTTTTCAAGCCTTTAAAAATTATGTTAATTTTAATTATCAATTAACAGATTAATATAATCTAGACAACTAAGTGCAGAAAGGTCACACGTGTGATGTCACTTTGACGTCAAAAGCATGTCGAAATTTAAATAATTCACCATTTGGTAATTTTACTCATAGTTTTTGTCCAAATGTATTGAAGCAACAGCTTTCCCAAAAAAGATATGTCACACTCACTTATGTCATAGCAAAATTCAGGTTTTGCTCTTATGCACTTAATGTAAGAAGCTTGAGGCAATAATGGCAATTTGTAACAATTATCAAAAAATAAAAACTACTGTCTTACTAACAAATATCTTGCAAACATCTGAATGATGTTTTTTGGTCTATTTATAATACTTTTATAATTTATGAGTTTTGCTCTCAAACTTACTCGATCGCCAATTTTTAGCTGTTATGCAGTATGTTTGACTAAAGCAGATGATTCTGTGGATTTATTGTATCCCTCAATAGGAGTGCTTTTTTATTAGTGCAATCATACCCAACTATATCAGTCCTATTCAGGACCGATAACTCTGTCGATAAATATTGTCGAGTATACAAAAATAAATGTTGAAATGTTTGCAATAACATACTTTTGTAAACAAGTTAATATTTCAATATCGATTTGTTTTAATTCCTGGATTTTGGTCAAAACATTGACATAAAAAAATAAATGAGAGAAATCATATGCAATGAAGTCTCGTTTAATTTTCTATGGAATAAAAAATCTATTTAATATAAAATTTGAATTAGAGTATTTTTCTTTAAATAATTATCGTGAAACATTATATATTTGGTTATTTTTTTAAGCAAAAATCAACTTATCGAAGAATTTTTCATAATATTCATATGTTCTTAAAGTTATATATGATATATATTTTCCGGTAGTGTACACGGGAAAGACAATTATATATCTGTCCATTTTATGAAACTTGGCGTGTATATCACTAAAAATAAACTCTGTCAATACATGTGTACACATGATGTAAATGTCACCTGGTAGTTTTTTGGTTTGACACGATTCCTTTACATTACCTGACAATTTTTTGTTTTGTAACAGTATAACTTAAATCTGAGTTAACTTCTTCGTATATTAGTCTTATTGGTCATAGAAAATTTAAAGGTACTGAGCATTTAACTATTGTTGTGCATGGGTTTTTTTTTTTCGAGACGAAGATATTTCTTTCTAAAAAGAATATATTATTTTTCTATATAAAGATGAATTATACAGAAAAAAGGGAAACATCTTTAAATAAAGGCAACAGTAGTATACCGCTGTTCGAAATTCATAAATCTATTGAGAAAAAAAAACAAATCCGGGTTACAAACTAAAACTGAGGGAAACACATCAAATATAAGAGGAGAACACAACAGAAACACAACATTAAAATGTAACACACACAGAAACGAACTATAATATAACAATGGCCATTTTCCTGACTTGGTACAGGACATTTTAAGAAAAAAATGGTGGGTTGAACCTGGTTTTGTGGCTAGCCAAACCTCGCACTTTTATGGCTATGTTAAATATAACACTAAAATGACACCATTACATGACATGAATACAGTACAACATTACGGACAGAGAATTACGCAAATAAACAATACAATATTATCTGGATTGTCGTAATAAAAATGTGCAAAATATTTTTCTTATAAATTTCAGTGGTCACTATGTTTTAACTTCACACTTGAAACTATTTATTTTTATCAAGAAATTTAGAACATATAAAATCAAACATATCAGAATATTAACGAAGAAGATAACAGAAACAGCACAAATTCTTCATGAAAAATACAAGATGTATAAAAATACATGCGACACTTCTAAACACATCCGCCATTTTGAAAAATCCCGTAAAAATAACTTTTTTTAAATCAACGTTGGACGTAATTTGCTCTCGATATAAACTGCTTTAAGTATAATATTTCGCCAGGTGTATGTTTTAATATTCTCAATCGAGTTGCAAAGTATTACTTTTATTTACGGAATTTGTGAATTTGATGAACAAGTAGACATGAGGTCGCTAGATTTACCACTGAACCAACGGGTAAATGACGAGAAAAAGTACAATTTTTACGAATTTCCAGGGACTTAATTTAATCAAAAACTAAACTGTCAAAACCGACATTTTTAGGTAGAATTATGTTCGAATACCAAGGATATAGTTGCAAAAGTTAGAAAACGTGTTAGATTACTGAGAAAATTGAACTTTATTGAAGCACCTATGCATTTTATATGGGACAAATGACACAGAATGGCGGCTCGCTACATCACCAAAGTTACGTGATGTCTTACTCAGTTGGATATGTAATATAGTTTCCTCTTAAAAAAATCAAAGAACATCACATGTGGTTAGCATATTGTAAAATTTAATATAGCCACAGCTTCCTTAGATAAATTTTAGCAAGCCACTTTTATGAGTCAAGAATTAAAGCATGCATATATTATGAAATCTTTAGTATTGGACCTATTTATATCGCATATTTTTATTGATAAACCAAGATTCAATATTTGCTTGTTTTTTATAGAGACCTCACTAGAAATGGTATAACTTCAGTAGACGCAACTTCATTATCTGGATTAACATTACTTACAAGGCTGTAAGTACAGATAGTACTTTTGATTTAATGAAATTCAAGATATGATTATAATAGAGCGATTTTTTTTGATAATTTGATCGTCTTGTTGGATTGTAGTCAAAATAAAACATTTTGTAAAATATATTACGAACAGAATAAATATAAAAGTATTTGTCGTATTAATGGTTAAATTTTACATTCTATGTACATGTCTATCGTATTAAATATGTGTATTCCTGCTCACTACCCAAATATATGATAGACAGATGATCAAGTAAATAACACACCATGATGTACCGTTATTGGATACATTTATTGAAGACCACATGTTCGTCGATACGTTATATTGACAGAGAAATACTTAAAATTCTTATTACAAAAATGTATTGCAAAAAATGAGAAAAAAAATCATACTTCATCAATTTAGAATATCTTTTACACTTTAGTCGTGTTTGCTTAAAAATGATCAAAAATTAGCTATCGTTGACAAACTTCATGAGTCATACTACCAAAAGAACATCAATTTCACGGTTCAGTTAATCTTTAATAAGATCATATACAATATAGGCGAAGAAACGTACCGTATTCCGATAAACATTTGATTACGTAAAACTGTTTTAATGTATGAATACAGTGTATATCTAACTCTATAGATCTACCTTATTGAATAGTTTCCCTAGATATGCAATTACCAATATATAGGGATAAGGAATTGAAGCTGTAGATTAAGTAAATTGTTAATAGTAAAGGTGGTAACTGATTATTTTGTGTAAAAAAAAGAAACATCTCATTACAGTTAACAATTTATTTATCAATTAATTTTCCTTAAATATTAGATGTATTACAAATGCTGTCTTCCAGTTTAATTTTAACTGTTTTCTTTCTTGTATATATATATATATATATACAGGATGGTACACTTGTGTTTTGGTTGATGTCACTAACGTTTATTTCCGTATTGAACAAATTGAAGATGTACATCCATGTGCCAATAATAGCTTGACATCTGTTAGTTATGTCGATGACACCTGTCACACATTTACCTTTGAAACTATGGTAACGTTTAGCTCTCTGTTCTTTACTTTCAAATTTTACTCTGACGAGTACGATCTGATTCATCTACTACATTGTACGTAAACAATGTAAACTTTAAAAACAATTCCATTTACATTTAATTTGGAAACAGTTGTTAAAAAACCAAACCGCCGTTGTTGATATTAATTTTACACGACTTCTTAAATATTTTATACATAGATCAATGGATTTTAAATACTTTTCAGTGTTTAAGACGCCAACTTCATTTCAAGTCGAGTCGTTTGCAAACCTGTGACATTGGATAATTTGTAAATATTCCATTACAACGTGCAACATGTTAAATTATTCATAAGAATAAGAAAATTCAAATTAGTTAGTTTTGATCTGAGTTCTAAATACTTTATGTAATTATCTTTGTCCTGATGACGCTTAAAATTCGCCAAATATCGACAAGGATCCAAGTTGAATGTTTATATTCTCCAAGCTCCAAATATTTGAACTTTATTCAAACTTAGGATCAATAACTACAAGTGAAGATCAAAAATAGCGGACAGTAATAAAGAATAAATTTTCAAAAATGAAAATATCACTTTATTATTCTCATGCGTGATCTTGAATTAACTATTTATAATATTAAAGTCTATTGTTTCGTTTTTTTGTCATTTGTTGTAAACATGTATAGAGGGCATGACATCATTCGATCTTGCTTTGTATTTTTCTAGTTATTATAACAAGAAGCCTATTATTCCAAAAAAATTGAGCTTATTAAGATTTTTTTCTTTAATTCCATGTGTGCTATGTTTATGTTCTTGTTTATTAATTGGCATAATAAAATGGTTTATGTACACACACACTTTCTTTTTTAGATATGACATTAATTAACAAGCTGTTGTGTTCAAACATTTTATCTGAAACTTCTATTTAAACTGTGTTATTTGTTCCTAAAAAGGTGATGTTTTTATAGAAATGTTTAATAATATGATATTGGACGATGGACTCCCGGAAACTGTTATGTCACAAAAACGGCAATGACCGTTAAACAGATACACGTCCAGAGCACCTGAGATCATCCCCGATTTTGGGTGGTGTTCGTGTTGCTATGTCTTTAGTTTTTTATATTGTGTTTTATGTGCTGTTGGTTGTCTTTTGGTCGTTTTATGTTTTGTTTTTTGCCATGGCATAGTCAGTTTATTTCGACTTATGAGTCTGGTTCTTCCTTTGGTATTTGTTACCTCTATTGAACTCAATAATTGTTCTTTGTTTTAAAGAGAGCTTCGTCGAAATAAGATTACATCAATAGAAGCAAATGCATTATCTGGATTAACATCACTTACGGATAAACTATAAGTATAGACAGTACTTGTTGTTTAGTATAATTGAAGATATATTTCATAACAGAATGAATTCATAATTGATAGTATCGTCACGTCTTATTTCAGATTATTTAGTTGACTTGTTAAATCTATAGTTTTGCATCAGATAAAGATACATTAAGGATCTCCTTATTTTCATTTGGAATAAAATCCTTAAAATATTCATAACAAGACACTGTATTGCTCAGAAATTGAAAGCGCTTTTAATGTGTTTTTTCCAGAAGTATTTTGGTTTAACAAACAATTTAGGTTGTTTTCTTTCAGAGTATATCCTGCCTACAGAAATAAACAAACGTTAGCTTTCTTATTTTTTTTTTGTCTTTGTTATTTAGGAATAACATTAGTAAAAAAATGGAATAAAATATTAGTAAAATGTAATATAAAATCCCACTTCGATTTGTGTCGTATTTCTTGTGACGTTTAAATCATCATATAAATACATATCGTTAATGCATTGTAAACATAGCGATGTTCACAATGTCAACCATGTCAGCAGTATACAGGAATTCTTACAATGTAAATGACGTTAACACGATATTGTGTAAACATTGTTGATATCGCAATGTAAACATTGTTGATATCGCGTGTAAACGATGTAAACACAACATCGTTACTACATTGTATACATCGCTATGTTAACGATGTAAACAGTATATACGAGCTCTGACAATGTTAACGATGTTGACAAGATATCGTGTTAACATTGTTTAAATCGCAATGTAAACGATGTAAATAAAGGCAACAGTAGTATACCGGTGTTCAAAAGTCATAAATTGATTGAGAGAAAAGAAATCCGGGTAACAAACCAAAACCGACAAGAGGAAAACAAAGGAACAACAGGAACACCGAAGTGCAACAAAAACACACATAGAAACGAACTATTTGATAACAACTGCCATATTCCTGACTTGGTACAGGACATTTAAAAAAAAATGGTGGGTTGAACCTGGTTTCATGGCATGCCAAACCTCCCGCTTTATGACAAATTAAAAACAATATTGTAACTACATTGTAAACATCGCGATGTTAAAGATGTCAACGATGTAAATCGTATATAAAAATCCCAACAGTGTTAACGATGTTGACACCATATCGTGTTAACATTGTAAATATCGCGATGCCGACAATATTGTTTTTACATTGTGCACTGGACATGGAAGCAAAGTCTAAATGAATTTGTATTGAAAACTCTCAAAACTTCTCTCTCTCTCTCTCTCTCTCTCTCTCTCTCTCTCTCTCTCTCATGTTCATACTGTCTTACTCTCTATCTTATATTTTTTTCTTCCTAAGAACGTTGCATTGATAAGATAATATTAATAGATTGATATATTATACATTGCTATTATATTTGCGCATATTAAGCTGTAAATTGGAAGTTATAATTACTAGAAATTAAATTAAAAAAAATATTGAGTTGTAAACCGTCTGAACTCCAATATGTGCATTTTAAAAATACATATCTGTCAGTAATATTGATGACCCCCAGCAATTAAAATATATTTAACACTTCTACAATATAATTCAATTGATTTTAAATTAAAAAAAAAAAAAAATAGCACTTGAAATTCATTTTTAACACTTATTCAATATAATTTATTTGATTTTCAATACTTTTCAGAGCATTAGAAGGAAACCAACTGTCCAGTATAGAACCCGGGGTATTCAACGGTCTTTTTTCATTGATAATTTTGTAAGTATTCCATTACATCTTACAAACACTTTTTAGAGATTAATTTATTATAAGAATAAGAAAATTCAGGTTGGTTGGTTTTGATTGGCTACTCAATACTAAATGTAATCATATTTGTTATACAGTATACAGGAGTTCTAACGATGTAAATGACGTAAACACGATACTGTGTAAACATTTTTGATATCGCGATGTAAACCATGTAAACACGATATCGTTACTACATTGTATACATCGTGTTGTTATCGATGTAAACAGGATATAAGAGCTCTGACAATTTTAACGATGTTGACACGATATCATGTTAACTTTGCTAAAATCGCAATGTAAACAATGTAAAAACAATATCGTTACTATATTGCATACATCGCGATGTTAACGATGTCAACGATGTAAACTGTAAGTAAGAGTCCCTACAATGTTAACGATGTTGACATGATATCGTGTTAACATTATAAATATCGCGATGTCGACAATACTGTTTTCACATTGCTCTTTCTCTCTCTCTCTCTCTCTGATGTTCAGACTGTGATACACTCTATCTTATATTTTTTTCTTCCTAAGAAAGTTGTATTCAATAGATAATATTATTAGATTGATATATTATATATTGCTATTATATTTGCGCTTATTAAGCTGTAAATTGGAAGTTATAAATAATAGAAATTATAAAAAAAAAACGAATAGTTGTAAACCGTCTGAACTCCATTATGTGCATTTTAAAAATAAAAATCTGTCAGGAACATTGATGACCCCCAGCAATTAAAACTACAATATAAATCAATTTATTTAAAATTTTTAAAAAATTTTAAAAAAAACTAGCAATTGAAATTTATTTTTAAACACTTATTCAATATAAGTTATTTGATTTTCAATACTTTTCAGAGGTTTAGAAAGAAACCAACTGTCCAGTATAGAACGCGGGGTGTTCAACGGTCTTTTGTCATTGGAATCTATGTAAGTATTTCATTACATCGTACAAACACTTTTTAGAGATAAATATATTATAAGAATAAAACAATTCAGGTTTGTCGGTTTTAATTGGCTAGTAAATACTGAAAGTAATCATATGTGTTTTGATGACGTTTAAAACTCGCCAAATATCAATACATGTACCAAGTTACATTGAAATGTTCACCAATTTCCAAATAACAAGTTCAAGTTTATCTATACTACTAAAATAACGAGGTCCAATTTGTTAGCCGGTATGATGTAAAAACGACGAATTAAAGAAAGCAAAGGAGTAGGTTCTGTAACAAACTAAAACGGCCCCTATTTCTAGCTACAATTTCAAATTAGGATTTATCGACCAATATCACAAGGAAATCATAGCTAATACAATGACTAGATAGAAAATATGTCTTTTTGTTGAAAATTTATGTACTTGCGTTCTATTCATGATGTCACAAATAGCACTCATTTTGATTTTCAACGAATATTCAATGAAAACCGGTAAATTTCCAATTTTTTTTCGGGACAGGAAACATAGAGCGCATGCGTCGACAAAAAAGGTTTATCAAAATGCTTGTTATCATGCACATTTTACATATCTGACTTGAATATTTAGTTTGTCGACGCCTGCGCTCTATGTTTCCTAGGCCATAATTTGGTTAAAATCTAGACTATTTGGTCAAATTTTGCAAAAATCTCTATTTTTGACCTATTTTGGATGTAAAAATCAACGCTTTAAAACTAAAACTTTGACAAAAAATTTCTATTCAACTTTCTAACATGTCTTTTAATCAGTTTAAAACATTTATTATGTTGAAACATTAATCTTAATAATCGGGGCCAAATATGACCCTTACAGAACTTAACAAACATAGGACAATGACGATGATTAAAATTAAACCATTCCTGGCCCTTTTGTTTTCCACATAATTGATATTACAAATAATCAACAAGTTCCGGGTCGAATTCGATACCGATACCAATAGTATATGTCACATGTAGTTTCCGGATGTATGTATGTATGTATATTCTGTATCTTCCTCCTTTAGTAGGAGTACCCCATGGATTATGGTCGTAAGGAGGACATTTAACACACTGTATCGGTACAGCTTTTATGTGAGCATTTGCCTACACAGTTTCCCAGCCTGGCCGTGACAGATCTTACTTCCAGAAAGTTAACCTTCCCCAAAATAATAAGTACAATGCAATAAAACATTCGAACACACACTTACCTGATTCGCTAATCCTCAAAATATAAAAAATGCAAAATATAAAGACAATTAAATACATAATAAGGGATAAGGTCACTCCGGATGCCACACAAATGCCATGACAAAGAACGGGAAACCGGAAAGGATATACTGAAGAGAGAAAACCAGGATGGGTTCAATCAGATAGATTTTAAAAGCAGAGAAAACTGTGTACCTTATAATCATCATGACTGTATCAGATGACAATACGAATGCTAAAAATTCAGGCTAAAAGTAAGGCGTAGGTACTTTAATTCAATCACGCACCTTCGACCTCGCGAGTGTGTTCTAGTATTTCTTAATTAAACTCTACTGGGCGATGAACTTATGGGGACTTTTATTCCAAAGAAACGGAAAAGACCAATAAAAGATAGGTTCTTAGTTTCTTAAATAAACTTTAGGCGTAGATTTGTTCCATGAAAGATTACCATTATATTCGTTGCATAGTATTTGTATCGGTACATGCGAGATTACCATTATATTCTTACAACTTACAGTTCCCATTAGCGCCATGTGTCGCATAGGGCGCGGACCATTATATTCGTTGCCTGGTATTTGTATTTGTATATGCGAGATTACTATTATATTCGTTGCCTGGTATTTGTATCGGTATATGCCAGATTACCATTATATTTGTTGCCTGGTATTTGTATTTGTATATGCGAGATTACCATTATATTCGTTGCCTGGTATTTGTATTTGTATATGCGAGATTACAATTATATTCGTTGCCTGGTATTTGTATTTGTATATGCGAGATTACCATTATATTCGTTGCTTGGTATTTATATCGGTATATGCATGATTTTGTTGATTCTCCAAATCTGAATTAATTTCAAAATGAATTGCCAAATAAAAAAGCGAGACACCTTTCAGAAATAAATTAAGGGAAATGTGAAGGAACGATTAACAATTTCCTTATACAAGTTATATTTTGACAATCCCCGTCAGCTTCGAAAAATTTCAACAATTAGTCCAACTATTAATTGATAATATGCAAGTTTTACAGATTTCGCGGTTTATATAGAAACTGATTACAGTACCCAGAAATTTCATTTTATTTTGTAATTTTGATTGGGCGAAGCATCCAAAAGCTATATTGTATTTCTGTATACAATGCAACGTATATGATTACATGTCCCCTCCATGACAACGTTCATACAATGCTTTCAACACAAACGAAAGGCTTGATTCAAGTCGTAAATGTTTGTGACATACAAATGTAATTATTAAGATTGAATGCTTAACGTTAGTTTTTAAGTTCCAGTCTGCCTAAGGATCAGGCAGTGACCAAAACATAATAGTCTCAGATTTTGATGAAAACTTGCATAAATCATCTGAATAATATGTTATAAAGAAAAAAATACTTTTCAGACCAATTATATATGGTTGCTATGGAAACAGGGCCAATTGATTTTTCCAAAGCAACAAGTTATGGAGGTTAACATGAAAACCCACGGTTTTTCACTATTTCAGTCTCATGAAATCTGCTGTTTATATAAAATCTAGTATTTCTCCATTGTACTGCAACTTTTTCAACTATCAAATATTCTTGTAGAACAGCTGTTCTGATGAATTTCTATTTCATTCTAGAAATTTTGGTGTACGGATGGTTTTCAGGGACCATAATGTCCCAAAAAGCCAAAAAAAGGCCTGAAATCAAGTTCAAATATTTTCCATTACCAGAACAGCACATACATGGTGTTACTAAATATGGAACAAGTAGCAGTCATACTTTCGTTATTTCATAAAAGGCCGTTGGTTTTTTTTCCAAATAATGAGTAACCATAGCAACAAAGTTAACGCTATAGCAACAAAGTTAACGCTATAGCAACAAAGTTCACGCTATAGCAACAAATGTTAAAAAACAAATTATAACAAATTTATTCAATATTAAAGTCTAAATGCATATATATGGAGTAATTATGATTTATTTAAGCCAGTCACATTAGAATGTTGTCAATTGTTCCCATATTTGCCAGGAAAGTATTACAAAGCAACCAAAAAATGTCCTTAGCAACCAAAATGTACAAACTAAAAATTGTGTTTTTTTCATTTAAAAATATTCTCCAGTGCAAAATCTGACAATTAAGAGATCAGATATCAATCATGTCTATATAAAATAAGTAAATTAAACAATATCTACATTTTATAAGAAACAACTGTATCCTCCTAGTAACAAAATAGATTCCTTCCATGCCAATAATCAAAATAACAAAAAATAATAAAAAAAATATTATAACTCTACCAACATGTAATATATTTTTTTTTTTATCTAAAGATCTGTTTTTAATAAAAATTGAGGTAAAGTCATTATAAATATTGTGATGGGTTCTCGTTACCCCTCCTCCCTTTTCCCCCTTTACTAATAACTGATAAACAGTTGTATGCATACATGTATAACTAATAAACGGGAACATTTTCCCGTTTTTGTGCTGAGCTTACTTCTTATACCAGATTCATTTTGGTTTGAAACCTATTATCATAGTATCTGACACTATCATGCTTTAACATTTTTATTACAGCCTGGTGTTTTTTTTTTTTTTTTTCAAACAAGCGATCTGCATAATAACCATAAATACCCCTTAGCAACAGTAAATTATGCATATTCCACCTTCTTTCTATCAAAATTATAGGTGATTATAAAAATGCTCATCCAAATTTTTATGTTAAATGCTTCAATATGGATCCTTTCTGATTTTTATCAAATTAAGCTATCCCTACTACCAGATTTCCTTCCTAGCAACGTAAAGTGGCTATGTAAAATAATATACAATACATAATTCTACCATACATTATTAACAATTACACATGTCAGCACAAATATTCTTGTGAATAAGAAAATTAGTATCCTTGAAAGTCTTTGTTACTCCCATATCAGTTTCCCTCCCTGGCAACCACAACTCAAAATGTGTGAAATTCACATATTTTCATTCAAATATGACTTTGAAGAAATTTGAACATGAACATGTAAACATTTCATTAATATCATTTATGAGTAATATTTTGAATTGCTCTTAGACGTGTTAGATAAATGATAACTTTTGACAAACAACAAACGAAAGTCGAGAGACGATACACATTTTAAAGGGGTCGTCTCAAAAGACGTATTAATATTTTCTATCGTTAGCATAATGCATTATGTAAAATCAAATGAAGCATTATAAAGTAAAGATTTTATTACTTTCAGTCAATTAAACCGTGCCCTCTATCTACCAAACCAGCGCAAAGTTTAACAATCTGATTTTTTTTCCAGCGTGGATGAGGCCACATTGTACCAAGTACTTTATAATATTTAAGTCTGAGAATAGCATGTTCGACATAAACTCGTCATTTTTGCATAACGGTTAGCATATATTTTATCCACTAATATAAAAAGGTTCTCTATGGAATCAAATTGAGAGTCGAGAGTCTATAATTGAGACATTTAGATTATGGACCATCCCAAACAAGTAGAATTAATTAATGATTAATTTTACTCGGTACAATAATAATTTTTAAACATTGCTACAGAGGCGCGGATCTAGCCTTTTTGAAACGGGGGCGGGTCCGACACCCGGAACACCATGAAACGTCCACATTATTAAAAAACAATCAGAAGACAAGGGGAACTTTCAACCCCGGAACACCCCCCTGGATCTGCCAATGCTACCTCACTCAACGATAATGTTTTGCAGTTCAGAGAAAAGACTCAAACTACATGTCATGAATTAGAACGTCTGTATTATATTTATAGTTTTTTTATAGCGATATATTAACAAAAATAAATGTTTTTATATACTTATATACTAAGATAGTCTGTTTATTTTAATTAGAATCAGAATCAGATTCTGAGTCAAAACCAAAAGCCAATTAAATTTTTGGCACTCGCTTCCTTATGAATCGTCATATGTAAATGGTCTCCCAGAAATACCTTTTGATGGTAACCCACGAGACGGGGCTTACACTTAAAATTTATATTAGTTTAGTATTTATTTTTACAATCATTGTGATTGTACGGTTCTGGTAATAAAAATTATTTAAAATTGAAATTGGCTGATTTAACATAGAATATATAGTAAAACATATAGAACTTCGAAGTGCCAATTCATAATACTGCAAGTGATTTTCTAAAATTCGATTATACAGTTCTATTTTGATTGACTAAAGGTAACATATTTTGTGGATGAGATGAATATTTCAAATATATCATGTTTTGAAATTTCTAGAATTTGCCTGATTCTTAGACAGACTGTCACTTAAATTCTTATTTTTGTCTTTGTGATTTAAGATAACATTAATAAAACAATAGAATAAAATATTTGTTCAATGTAATATAAAATCACACTTTGATTAGATGCAGTGAGGTGAAATTTAGAACAAATAATTTTATAGATTAATTTTTCGTTTACGTTAAACATGTTAATGCCTCAATGGAAAAAGGTACAAACATCTTTTGTATCAGATATAATACAGATCGTTTTGGGTTTATTTTGAACTTTAATAGTATTATTTTAAATTATAAAAAAAAACAAGCAATTGAAATTCTTTTTTAACACTTGAAGCATACATACTAGGTACTGACGTTGTTTATCATTTTAATTACGTATTATACTGTTCTTTTTATTTGTATTTGTATATTTTTAACCTTTACTGTTTACTCCATTTTTGGGAATATCCTGTTGTCGCGGCTCGGTATTTATACATACAGCCATTGTGTTATTGTGCTATGGTCATTTTTTTGTATTCTTGTCTTTCATTTTTGCTAATGTGCTGTCTATTGAGTGTCTTTGTGCCATTTTGTTTTTCTTTGTTGACAAAGTTGTTTGGTTTTGTAGTGATTATGATGTTAACACAATGTTGACTACTGTATCCCAATTTTTTGACATTTTTACCTATCATGTCTGTTTGTTTTGCTCACACATTAATTGTTGTCAATACAATGGAATTCTATGCGAGTGAGTGTTTTAGCTAGCTATTAAACCAGGTTTTATCTACCGTTTTCTACACAAGGAAATGCCTGTAACAAGTCGGGAATATGACAGTTGTTTTCCATTCGTTTGATGTCTTTGAGCTTTTGATTTTGACATTTGGTAATGGACTTCTCGTTTTGAATTTTCTTTGGAGATCGGGATTTTTGTTATTTTACTTTCTACCAAAAAAAATAAGCTTATAATGGTTTGTCTTAATCCCATATGTGTGATGTTCGTATTCTTGTTTATTATATGAATAATACAAATACAATTTCGACATCGATGGTATGTCTATCGTCAAAAACGTGCCATTTTGGTATAAGCCATGACGACACGATTATGTACGAAAAAAAAAATAACCTTAATTTACATGAAATTATTAAACGTGTTGTTTTCTATTTTTTCATCACTGGGTCGATACCTCTGCTGGTGGACTATCAGTCCCCGAGAGTATCATCAGCTCAGTAGTCAGTACTTCGGTACTGACATGATTTATAACAAACTTTTCTAAAATTGTCCGTTTATAAATTTTGAAATTATAAAGAAACTAAGGTTTCAACTCCCTCAGGCAAAGTTGACCTTAGATGAATTTGGCTATTTGTTTTAGGTATTTTTGTTATATAGCTCTTCAACTGTTTCGGTACTTATACATCCCTCGGATTTCAATTGTTTGGCATTGAGCGTTCCTGATGAAGGTAAATACAGAAAAGCGCTTCGGACGCACGAAATTATTAAACGTGTTGTTTTCTATTTTTACAAGTTGTAGTGTACACATTTTTTTCTGTGAAATTTCTATTTAAACTCAGTTATGTTTTCATAAAAAGATGAATTACATCAGTCAAATATTAATAATATGATATCGGACGATGTACTACACGGGAACTGATATCTAACAGTACTGACCTGTAAGCAGATACTCGTCCAGAGCAATTGAGATGATCCCAGGGTTTGGGTAGTGTTCTTGTTGCTCTGTCTATGTTTTCTATGTTGTGTTTTGTGTGTTCTTGTTGTTCTGTCTATGTTTTCTATGTTGTGTTTTATGTGTTGTTGTTGCTCTGTCTATGTTTTCTATGTTGTGCTTTGTGTGTTGTTGTTGGTCTGTCTATGTTTTCCATGTTGTGTTTTGTGTGTTGTTGTTGCTCTGTCTATGTTTTCTATGTTGTGTTTTGTGTGTTGTTGTTGGTCTGTCTATGTTTTCTATGTTGTATTTTGTGTGTTGTTGTTGTTCTGTCTATGTTTTTTATGTTGTGTTTTGTGTGTTGTTGTTGTTCTGTCTATGTTTTCTATGTTGTGTTTTATGTGTTGTTGTTGGTCTGTCTATGTTTTCTTTGTTGTGTTGTGTGTGTTGTTGTTGTTCTGTCTAAGTTTTCTATGTTGTGTTTTGTGTGTTGTTGTTAGTCTTTTTTGTCGTTTTCGTTTTTTGCCATGGAATTGCCAGTTCGTTTTTGACTTGAGTTTGGTTATCACTTTTGTATTTTTAGCCTCTATTAGATTCAATAATAGCTCTTTGTTTTACAGACACCTGTTCGAGAACAAGATTATTTCAATAGAAGCAAATGCATTCTATGGATTAACATCACTTATGTATCTGTAAGTACAGACAGTACTTGTTGTTTAGCCAAATTCAAGAAGTAAATAATAAGAGTTAATTCTTCGATAACATTGTCATCTTTTCTTAGTTCAGGTGACATGTCTCATCATAATTTTGTACCCTAAATTAAAGAAAAATCTTTTTTTGTTCTATTTGAAACTTAGATCGTATTTTTAGTAAACTTTTGTTGTTTTTTTAAAGTTTTTTTGGGTTACTGTTATTAAAAATCATTTCAGTTTTAAACAGTCTGAGTTCCAAATGTCCATATCAACTGAAAATCTGTCAGATAAATTGATGACCCCAAGCAATTGAAATTTAATTTAACACTTCTACAATATAGATCACTTGATTTCAAATACTTTGCAGAAGTTTACATACCAACCACATTTCCAATATAGAACCCGAGATGTTCAAAGGTCTTGTTTCATTGAAGAGCTTGTAAGTATTCCATTACAACGTGCAAACACTTTTAAGTGTTTAAATAGTTATAATAATAAAACAAACCAGATTTGTCGATTTTGATTGGTTATTGAATACTAAATGTAATTTAATTTTTCTTGATGGCGTTCATAACTAGAAAAATATCAATACACGCTCCAAGTTGCATGGAAATATTCGCCAATCTTTAAAAAAAAGTAAAATAACAAAAATACCAAACTCCAAGGGAAATTCAAAACGGAAAGTCATTTATAAAATGGCAAAATCAAAAGCTCCAACACATCTAAAGAATGGAAAACAACTGTCAATTTCCTGACTTGGTACAGGCATTTCCTTATATAGAAAATTGTGGAGTAAACCTGGTTTTATATCTAGCTAAACCTCTCACTTCTATGATAGTCGCATAAAATTCAATTATATTGACAACAATGTGTGAGCAAAACAAACAGGCATCATAGGTAAAAACGTCAAAAATTGGGTTAACGCAGTCAACATTAATATATAATCTTACTCACTATAAAAACAAATTACCGTTTCAACAAGGAAAACTCAAAATTGACCATAGCACAATAACACAATGGCGGGATGTATAAGTACCGATCCACGTCATAAGTATATAATCAAAAATTGATAAACAGTAAAGGTTAAAAATATACAAGGACAAACAAGGGAACTTTAACACGTAATTAAGATGATAAACAACGTCAGTACCTATAATCTATACTTCAAGACCATCATGTATTATTTGTGAAGTTGATACGGAATATTTATCAACAAGGTCTTGGTATCTTCCAATGAACATTTGTAGAAACAGGACTGTGTTATTGCCCTTAAGCATGTTAGATATTGAATTGTTAACATTTTGCGTGTTTGTCATCTGGAAAATTATAATAGAAAGAAACAACCTTTAAATAGAAAAAAAATGATATACCGGTCAGGATTCAAAAACATGTCACATTGCTAAAACTGTGAGTCAACTCCCTAAAAATGTAATTACCATATAATTACGAGTTTTACCCATTGTTTGAATTTATGGCCAAAACTATGGTACATGAAGAAAAAATGTTAACCACAAAAACGATTAGCAAGACAAGATCCATGAAATAATTCAAGAAAGCCAAAACCAGGTCACCAAGGTCTAAATATGTCTCTTTCTAAAAGGAGTTATTGCCATTTAAAGACAATTTCTGCAATTATTTTGTATTTTAGCAAAAACAATATAGCATAGAGAGATCAACAAAATCAAAATTCAGTCAAAATAACAATCTAGTATGCAATGTATAAGTATGACAATTGTTAAATACAGCTATATGCACGTTAGCCAAGCAGGCTCTTTAAAGTCTACAGTTTGGAGGTTTGACTTAATAATCGAACGGTAAATTGGCTGCTGGATCCCAATTATTGTCAATTAACCTATTATATCTGTTATGTTGCTCCCCGAATTTTGTCAATATAACATAACTATAAACAACTGTCATACAAGTGGGAGGTTAGACTAGCTTTAAAACCAATTTTAACCGACCATTTTCTTCGGAAAATGCCTGTTCTAAGTCAGGAATACGGCAGTTGTTTTTCGTTTGTTCCATTGATTGAAATCATTTGATTTTGTCGGTTTTTCTGGACTTCCCCTTTTTTTATATTTGCCCTGGAGTTCGGTATTTTCGTAATACTTTTTTAAACCAGGTTACTTGTAGAACGCAGATCTTTCAAAGTTATAGCATACCTTACGTTTTTGCTTAAGTAAAAAAATAATACTTAGAAACTTTTCTTTTTGAAATATTGATATTGTTTATATCCGGTTTGGTAAGCTGTTCCTGCTGAAAGTGTCTACCGCTGGTTTGCAAATGTCATGTTAAAATTCCGTTGTTCTGATATGTTTTGATCGATAACCCCTGGATGTCCTTCTTGAACTGACGCGACATATCTATTCATTATATTTTGTAATGATATGTTCAAAAATTGATTATATAAATACAATTATTTTGATTATGCTTTCGACTGGTTGAAAAATGAAATCTATAGCAATGTCTTTCAAACAAATGTAAGTTCATTGAATTTACTTTTATTGTTCCAATTGTTTCAACTTTGTTTTTTTTCAGAGACCTATACGGTAATAATTTGACAACAGTATCAGCCAATCTGTTTGATTCAACGACAAATTTAGAAGAATTGTACGTATGATATACACAAACATGTATTTCCCCACGCGATACATGCTTAGACAAAACTGGAAATAAGTTTACGATAAACATCAAGACATTGGTTGTAATCGCTTCATAAAGGGTCTTAATTAGCTCATTTGACAATCAGTGTTTACGCCAATAACTCGTCTCTCAAAACGTACCAGCAATAAAAGCGCGGTTTCTTTGCTTATTGTGTGAGTTTATTTGCTGTGCATGTACTGATTTTATGTCATGGATGGATACCCCATATCCTTTGTTTTTCTATCAGATTGATTCGCTTCCTGTTCCTGAAGTAATATCAGACTTGAGCATTCATTCTGTTGTATCCTATATTGTGATGTTGTATACTGATTTTTCACGAAATTTGATTAGTGTTTCATTTGTTTTGGTTCGAGCGCAACTGATGAGTTTAATATAGAAAAATCACGCTTCTGGTGTACATAATTCCAAACCTGGTGTTTTTGATGAGTTTTTACTACTTGGACGATACCACTGCTAGTGGGCGATTCCTTCCATAGGGTATTAACGGCACATTTGATTGCACTTTTGTGTTGACATGAATACTTTATACGTTAACTCTCTTTAAATTAGCTGTTTGAAACATTAAGGTTTTCTACCTCTAGGCATAGAGAGCCTTGGTCGAATTTGGCGCATCTTTTCGAAATTATTTGTTTTAATCCTCACTAACTTCTTATTACATATAGCCCTTTAACTGTTATGATTCGGGCTCCACAAATGAGTCTTATGTAGACGAAACGCGCGTCTGGTGTTCCAAATTTAATCCACGAAATTTGAACTATGTTGGATATTTTTCTCATTAGCAATCATATTATCTCTTCTTATTTTGACTAGTTCTTATAAAAAAATGCTGTCATTGCTGGTTTTAACTAGCAGAAAGTAATATACTTCATTAAACAGTTATGAGGAGAGAAAAAGTATTATAACATTTTGTTCATAAATCATTCATTTTAGGGAATTACGAGGAAATCTGCTGATGTGTTGTACCATGATAGGTTTGATTGAATGGGCCCGAAATCAAACCAGATTGGACTCTTTTACTGGAAGATGCTCTGATTTCAACCAAACAAATGATATAAATAGCTTTAATTCAACAAACTGTCCAGGTAGATAGTTTATCATTTTTTTTCAATATGGACATGGTAATTAAGTTCGAAGTTGGATATAATATTTGATTCAGACTGTCTTCTGGAACAGTGAAGACAGTTATCCACGACATTTTAAATTTTTGACACGCCAAAATAATTACTTCCATTATTTTAAAATTTGTAGTCAAAGAAATAGTTAAGACGACAGAAATATTAGTTTTAGGCATTAACTACAAGTCCAGATTAAACGAAATATGACGATTTGAAGTGTAGCTTAGGTAGCTTATACATAGAATGGACATCCAAATGTCTTAACGATACCATGAAATAAGATGTTTAAATTTCATTTTATTTGACTCTCTATGGCGCACTTTGAATGTAAATGAAATTATCATGTCATTCTTTAGAACTACAGTGTAGTATCAACTGGCCAATACGAACACCTAATGTTTTACGAGTACTTAAAATTTATACCCTTTAATCAATACTACATTATTTACATTTATCCTGCAATTGGGTGTCTTATCATACATTAACAGCCCAACAGATATCGCTAGCTGTATTTGTATACTATACAGATATCGCTTCAAAGCTCCGCCCATTGCCGGACTACTTTTGTGAATTGCTGTTGACGGGTGTTGTATGGGCGTCTTTTATTGACAATAAATTGATTGCATTGTATTGTTTTGTATTTTATGAACTTTCGTGACCTCAAAATGTGTATTACAGTTGCATTCCAATGACGTATTGCTTGACCTTGTTTGAACTATAAATTAGTTAACGTTCTGTTTGTTTTCAATCATTTCTTTAGAACAATGTGAAATAAAAATGAAATATTTTGTCTTCCATTCTTTTAGACCTTTGGTTTTGATTTTATATTTTAAATGTTATAAATGTATTATTGTCATAAATGCATTACATGTGTAACACACAAAATCAACCATGTCAATAATCAGTGAATGTCACGGTCAGTTCGAAATTCTGAAGCGTAGGACAAATCATACATTTTTGTCTTAAATCGGACATTGTTTTTGCTGATTTTTTTTCTTTTTACTGTTGAAATTATTTGTTATGTTAGAATAATTATCAACTTTGATCGATGTATTATTGTTGACCATGCGAGAGTCTTTTCGGCGTACCGGTCATCGGCTGATTGTGTGATTTTTGTTTAACATTACTACGCGGGCCTCAAAGGTAAAATAAACAAAAACTAATTTATTTTAAATCGAAAATAAATGCAATAAATGTGAGTTTTTTTTTTTTGTCTTTCAAAGTACAAACAATGTACAAAATTAATTGCAGGATAAAGACAATAACTGTTTAGTGTCTTAAAATATCAGCTGTATTTGTACTCGGCTCGAAACTTCAGCGAGCTATTACTCCTGTTTCGAGCTGAGCACAAACACAGCTGATATTTAAAGACACTAAACAGTTATTGTCATAATAAGCTTAGTATCACTGATGGTTTTTTTTTCAAATATGACGCCTGTTTAACAAAGGCAGTTTACGGCATAAGTCGACCAAGAAAGTATATCATATGCGAAAATATTTCTCCGATGTAGTACCATATAAAATGACAAAACAAAAAACTGATTTTGTCAAAATAACATCAGAGGATGTGTTTTACCTACGTCAAAGTCAAAAGATCTCTAGTTAGCTGGTTGCCTGTGTCAATCATCTTTTTCATTGAGCTATGAAACTGTGGTTTGATCTACAATTCTCATGATTCTTTTTTTGTGGTTTCCTAATTTCGTTCGTCCTGAAACGATCATACTGATTCAAAATAGTCAATGGTAAAGTTAAGATAGGACATTTGGAAGTTTAAAAGTAAATAAAAAAAATACATGTATATATTAAAGCCATTAATGGTATCTATCATCCATTAGACCACGTTGTGGAATGATTTTGTTGATTAACTAGACGGAAAACCAAGCGGTTATTATTCAAAACGAGGAAATTCAATGCTTGGTCGCGGAAGGATGTATATAAGTCTCGAAATCAAAATGATGTACAAAAAATAATTACGCATTTCGGCTGCTTGTTTCAACCAAAGATTTGTTAGATATTGATGTCGCTGGGTTGCTTTCTCATTTACGCATACCAATGTTCCTTATATTCATACATACATGCTAGGACGAAAATGCTGGATTCTTTTTATTTATGATAGTTAGTATGGTGAACAAAAATTTTGTCATGTGGTCGCAAGTTAGGTATGGTCAAAGTATTAGAGCAAGGCAAAGCTCTCAATGGAATATCAGTCAGTCATTATATCTGACTACTGTAGATTTATAACCTCATTTATTTAATGTTCAATTAAAGGCACAAACTATATTAAGGGTATACTATGCAGTTACAGAGGATGCTATGACGTCGCTAACTTAAAAGTTCTTTTCGCGACGTCAAACTGTCGCACATCGGGAAAAGATGTATTGTTTTACTGATTTTAATCATTATCTTGAAAACATGAAAAGGGGGACATCGATCCCCCTCTTCTTTTTCTGTTTTTTTTTTTTTTTTTTATAAAAATAACATTTGTCTTGATTATGTATGAAGATTATTTGTACCAACTTTTATGATTTAATCACCAATGATATTTTTAAGTGAATTATTATACATCAATAAAAACCGTTTTTTATATGAAATAAAGACAATTTAATCAAATTCAACTATTTCCTAAGAATTGTTACATAAAGTTAAAGCATACTTATGAAAAGAAGATATTCCAAATATTTTACAAAAATCCGCTTGTGTTTATCTTTTGAAACAAAAAAGTTAGATGTGCATCCGAAATTTTGAGTAAATGTCTAAAATTGCGTCCCCATTTATCTTTTAGTAAAATATGAGGGTATATTTTTTATTAAATATTTGAATGGACCAGTTGAAAAATAGCTTGTAATTTTCGTCAACAATTCACCGTGGGAACAAAACTGTATCGAATGCTCTTAAATATAGGATATTAATTATCATAAATAAGGTAAATATTGAACCTTTTCAATTTTCTTAAATGTACAATTTAATACACCGAAGAATTTGATAATAATTGATTTGTTTTTTTGTTTTTGTTTTTTTTTAAGTTGACGGCGAATGGGGATCCTGGTCGACTACGCCATGTTCCGTTACCTGTGGAAATGGTTTTATATTTCGATATAGAAGTTGTGACAGCCCATTTCCTTCTAAAGACGGACAACTTTGTGTTGGCACTAAATTTGACTTCCTAAATTGTAGCTTGGGGAATTGTCCAGGTAAATTATTCGCAGAATATAATAACAAATACCTTTATAGGGATAAGATGCTATCAATTTCTAATTAGCTGAATATCCCATAGGTTGGCTATGTGAAATATCTTGTATTTTATATAAGTATTAAGTTTGTAGTTTTGTTTCTGTTTAATTAACGTATACTGTATCATTTGTTTTATATTAAGGGCGTTGGCCGCAATAATTTTTTAACTTTACATTCGGATGTAGACTCCAAAGATCATACAGAAAATGTGCTTCCTTCCTGCTGCAATCAAATATTTTTGAAACAAATTTCACAAATTGAAAGTAATAATCAAATGAGAGATATTCCTGTCTAGAAATAAGAAGAATGATGTATGATTGCCAATGAGACAACTATCCACAAAAGTTCAAATGAAGTTGATGTAAACAATTATAGGCAATCGTACGGCCTTCAACAATGAGAAAAAACCTATACCGTATAGTCGGCTATAAAAGGCCCCGACATAAAAAATATAAAACAATCAAATTGAGAAAACTAACGGCCAAACATTTTTAACAAAACAATTTACGAAAAAACAAATATGACTGACATGAACCAACGAAAATCACTGAACTGCAGGCTCCTGACTTGAAACAGGCACAAAAGAATGTGGAGGCGTTAAACATGTTTGTGAGCGCTCAATCCTCCCATAACCTGAGACAGTGGTGAAACAGCACAACATAAGAACAAACTATAAAAATCAGTTGAAAAAGGCTTAACTCATCAGATCGATACAAAGCAAAACAATAAAAAAAAAACACAGACCTGACGTGGCAGGGTATTTATCCATCCCTCATCCCTAACAACTAAAAAGACACTAAGTACAGGTCTGAGAGTACTCGCAAGTTACTAACAGCTGGTTCAAAGCCAATAACAACTTATAAAAAAAATCATTTATCTAAGACTAAAATATCTATCAGTACACATCCAACATCCGTCTGTGTATGTATATTACCTTTAACGTAATCATTTTTTTCTTCTTTTTTTTGTTACATGAAAATTTTCCAAATACATATACTAGTAACTGCAACATCAGATCATTTTTGTGTAAAAGAGGGCAATGTGTATGTAGTACTATTTGTAAATAGAAAAAAAATATACGTCGAAAAATTATCAATCAAAGGATAGAATAATGTCCACAATATCTATGAAATAAACTCGAAGCAATCGCTATCACAGAAAAGGGTCCAAAATATCGAGGAAATAAACTCGAAGCAATCGCTATCACAGAATAGGGTCCAAAATATCGAGGAAAAAAACTCGAAGCAATCGCTATCACAGAAAAGGGTCCGAAATATCGAGGAAATAAACTCGAAGAAATCGCTATCACAGAATAGGGTCCAAAATATCGAGGAAATAAACTCGAAGCAATCGCTATCACAGAATAGGGTTCAAAATATCGAGGAAATAAACTCGAAGCAATCGCTATCACAGAATAGGTCCAAAATATCGAGGAAATAAAATCAAAGCAATCGCTATCACAGAATAGGGTCCAAAATACCGAGGAAATAAACTCGAAGCAATTGCTATCACAGAAAAGGGTCCAAAATATCGAGGAAATAAACACGAAGCAATCGCTATCACAGAATAGGGTCCAAAATATCGAGGAAATAAACTCGAGGCAATCGCCATCACAGAATAGGGTCCAAAATATCGAGGAAATAAACTCGAAGAAATCGCTATCACAGAATAGGGTCCAAAATATCGAGGAAATAAACTCGAAGCAATCGCTATCACAGAATAGGTCCAAAATATCGAGGAAATAAAATCAAAGCAATCGCTATCACAGAATAGGGTCCAAAATATCGAGGAAATAAACTCGAAGAAATTGCTATCACAGAATAGGGTCCAAAATATCGAGGAAATAAACTCGAGGCAATCGCCATCACAGAATAGGGTTCAAAATATCGAGGAAATAAACTCGAAGCAATTGCTATCACAGAATAGGGTCCAAAATATCGAGGAAATAAACTCGAAGCAATCGCTATCACAGAATAGGGTCCAAAATATCGAGGAAATAAACTCGAAGCAATTGCTATCACAGAAAAGGGTCTAAATATCCAGGAAATAAACTCGAAGCAATCGCTATCACAGAATAGGGTCCAAAATATCGTGGAAATTAACTCGAACCAATCGCTATCACTGTTTTTTTTTTCAATACAATGTAACAAGAATATGTCTTCATAGGGAACCATGCCCCGCTAGCACTATCATTGGTTCATGTTAAGTGTGCCATGAAATCTTTTGGTCAAAATCTTAATTTGGCATACATTTTAGAAGTTTCCCTTACAAAAAAAAAAAGGTTTAAGTTGATTTGACAAAACATTCTTGGTAAATTACCGTAATCAAACATTTTATCATGAAACGGTCTGAACTAACAGACGAACACACAGACAAGAAAGCATAATACCTACATAGGCTAAGAATTAAATTATTTTAAAAATCATGTTTTGTATTGTGTTGTTTAATTTATAGCGAGCGTGCGAGTCAAGGTCGTTAAAACCCCGCTAGTAATGGATCACTCAATAGCATTGCCCATGCAAATGATAATTGTCGACAAACTGATAGTGTTATAATATTATCCCTTATGGTCAGCATAGTAATTGATAAATTAAAGCATTACAAATTATTTCGATCAGGTAATAACTATGCTAAAAAATTGTCCTAGAAATTTGTATTGCCTGGTTTTGTAAAATAAACTTATAATTTGCTACAGACAATAAATGCAGTAAATAGGAAACTCTATAATGAATATTATTACATTTCCAAATGAAGTTCTATAACTAGAGTAACAGCATTAAGTAAAAATACAAAACCGTGTAAAATATAAGCAACGACTGAATGTGAGCTTCGTGTTTAAATTGGTCTTTTTATATTTCATTTTAACAATACGGTTTTTTTCTATGATATTCTGTTCTTTTTTCATATCAGATGTATTGTTACTTTGATTCAATTTATTGTATTTACAGAACCATGCAAAGAATCAGACAAAACATCAGGTAATTACTATTAAATGAAACTTTCATGATCTTATTTGGTGCCATGTATTCACGCTTACTTTATTCATAACTTTCATTTAACTGCAACTATCATGATCTATATTTTCTCTCTTTTATGTTTGTATCCACATAAGATATAGGGTTTATCTTTTGCGTTTTCATTAATTCATGGCATATATTAATTTAAACAGAGTGTTCTTGAATGTTACAAAAAAAATACATGCTAGCTTGAAATTATATATTGATTACTTCTTTTCAAATAGAATGGAAGAAAGCAAAAGAAGGAAAGTGGAGAAGAAACCGCAGAAGACAATTACATTAAAGACAAGATATATGTTGAAAATGGATATGTGGGACACTAAAAGAACACATTAGTTGTTTTTATTTCTAAAAAGATTGATACGGGAATTATATTTAGTTTTGTCGCTTCTTATCTAAGATTGTTTAAATTATTTCTTTTGCGTTATACAACACCTATTTTTACCTTTTGTGTAAAGAAGAACATTGTTATTTAGTTTTGGTGGCATAATTTGTATAAAATGCATATTCATTATAAACAAAATATTCTATATATTTTACACATATATATTTATAGACAATAGTAAAATCAGGTTATAAAACAATGTATTTTGGGATAATTACGTTTAGACTATATCATGTTGCATTGTGGGATTATAGATACGTTTATGTTGACATTTATGTTGCTGTTATTATATATCTTATGTTTAATTTCTGTTTTATTAAAAGTGGGTATCAATTCATTATCTTCAGGTTTTTGTATTTTACTGCACAATAATTAGCAATATCAATAGAACCAGGTACTTGTATCCTATAATATACTCGCAAAAACTAATTATTCCACATTAGCTAGATGTATAGTTAACCCCGCTGCATTTTGGCGCCTTCTCCAAGTCAGGAACCTCTAGCATTTAGTTTTCTTGTGTGTGTGTATTTTTTTAATTAAGGTTCAATTGTTTGTTTCGGAGTTTAGTGTGGCGTCCATTTCGCTGAACTATTAATAGTATACAATATTGGTTAGTGGTCAGCTGAAGCACGCCTCCGGGTGCGGGATTTTCTTGCTGCATTGAAGACCCATTAATGGTCTTGGCCTGTTTCTGCTCTTTGGTCGGGTTGTTGTCTCTATGACACTTTTCTCCTTTCCATTCACTATTTCAATGTATCTTGATTTTACTTTCTATTAATAATCAGAAATAATTGTTTGATTGAAAACACGAATACCTGTTTCATTTATATTTTTACATCCCTTCATCGTGCAATAGTTAAATTACCTTTATGGTTTTCAGTATACCCATATTCTGTTAGAATAAAAATAAATTGTGTTATGATTGCCAATGAAATAAATCTCCATAAGAGCCAAAATGACATAGTTGTAAGCAACTATAGGCCGCCGTACGGTCTTCAAAAATGAGCAAATTCCATACTACACATGTACAGCAAGCTATACATTTTTGTGGCCCTTTATAGCTTGATGTTCGGTGTGAGACAAGGCTCCGTGTTGAAGGCCGTACTTTGACCTATAATGGTTAATTTTTACAAATTGTGACTTGGATGGAGATTTGTCTCATTGGCACTCATACCACATCTTCTTATATCTATATAAGGCTCCAAACTGACAAATGTAAAACAATTGAAACTGAGACGAGATAACTAACGGCCTGATTTATATACAAAACAATAATCGAAATACAAACGTGATAAACAGCAACATACGACAACAAGTTAATAGACAGCTCCTTCCTTGAAACAGGCACCTAAAGAATGTAACGGGGTTAAACATGTTTACGAGCACCCAACCATAGTCCATTTTTTCTTCTATTTCTTATATTAAAATAACAATAAAAACAATAGGTTTGTCCGGTAAAAGAGGTCATCCGGGACGAAGGTCGGTAAATTTGGACACTGGAAAATAAGATATTGGATAGGGACAGATATGTTGACTTGTTTTACGTCCCCATTCTGACCGGTCGTGGCTGCGTATAGTGCTGAGCTTGTACATCTAGCACAGTCAAAGGTTTTACTGCCGGTAGAAAAATATCAAGAGTGACCATATTTATAATTCCCAGTTACCCTAGGCATTCTATTAATACGTCTGAGCCCTTATGAAACATATGAAATATGATAAAAAAAAATGTTGTTTCGGACGCAAAAAAATAATAATTATTATTTTCATTTACAATAATCGCTTCTGAAATAAAGTATGAGTTTCGAAATACTAGTATGATAAGTGTTATATTCATAAAAAGGATTGATTGGTTAATTGTTGGTTGTTTAACGTCCAGTAGCAAATACTTCATGTAAATTCAAAACACGAACAAATAAACAAAAATTAAAATAGATGATAAAGGTCATGCGGGATGAAGGTCGGGAAAATTTTAGCCTAAAAGGGAAATTAAGGGTATGTTGGCTATTAAAAGAAATTTTGTCTTGCAACAGGCCACCTATGGACCCTCAAATGGCTCAATGGTTCTTAACGTGTATGTTATGCCACTCTCTCTACACGAGGCTTCGGACGTGGCTGCGAACTTGTACATCCCGGGACTGCCAAACGGACAACTCCCTGTTGGCACTTTTTTTACTGCCATATTTCTTTACCCCAACTACGCTTTGAAAAAGTTTTCCTATACAACGGACCGTGGTAATTTGAAACAATGCAGACATAGAAAAGTAATTTGTCTTCACGCAATAATATTAACATTAATAGTAGTAATGATAAAAAAAATCTCAAAGCAACAGGTGTTCAACACAAACCCCTTATACCACTTAGAATTTAGTTTTTTTTAACCTATTGGTTTAAGTATAAGTTTTTTGTTTTTTTTCTACATTGGGATGATCTTCTGACCGTTTCTGTCTCTCTTCTACCGCTTCCCTTTAAATTGGTAGATTAGACCGCAGAGGAACATAACAAGCATGACGTCGTTTAGAGGTAATGACATTAATAAATTTATGAATGCAGATATAATAGAATGTGAGCTGTGTGGTAAACGTTTTTATTGTATGGCAGCCTTAGTATGACATCCCTGTACGGACGATAACAGTAAGGGAATATTTTAGAGAAGGAGGAAGGTCAAGTGGATTTTTTGCGGATTTATTATTCATTTCAATCTATCGCTAAGCCCACCGTATTCATATATTCAAAAATCCTCATGTCAACCATCCCCTCCCCCCCCCCCCCCCCAAAAAAAAAAAGTCCTCCTTATTTAACACAAGTTTAAATTGATTGATTGGTAGTTGCTTATTTTTAACGTCTAGTGACACATATTTCATGCATGTTCTGTACAATACGAGTTCAATAGTCAGGTATGTAATGAAATGGAGATGGTGTATGATTGCCAATGAGGCAACTATTCATCAGAGTTCAAATGAAGTGGATGTAAGCAATTATAGACAACCATACAGCCTTCAGCAATGGAAAAAACCTATACCGTATATTCGGCTATAAAAGACCCCGACATGAATATAGTCAAACAGTTCAAACAAAAACTAACGGCCTAATAATATATAACAAAACAGTTTACAAACAATCAAATATGAGTCGACAGACATGAACCAACGGCAACCACTGAACTACAGGCTCCTGACTTGGGACAGGCACATAAAGACATGAACCAACGGCAACCACTGAACTACAGGCTCCTGACTTAGGACAGGCACATACAGACATGAACCAACGGCAACCACTGAACTACAGGCTCCTGACAGACATGAACCAACGGCAACCACTGAACTACAGGCTACTGACTTGGGACAGGCACATAAAGCATATGACAGTGTTAACCATGTTTGTGAGTTCTCAACCCTCCCCTAAACTGGGACAGCGATGTAACAGTACAACTAAAGAATAAACTGTAAAAATCAGGTACAATTGGGTGACCTTAAAAGATTGGTACGAGACACGAAAACAGTTAACATTAAGACAGTAGACACAAAACTTCGAAATAAGATTTTTTGTAGTTTCTGAAATCTTGTTCAAACCGATATAGGAATCCAATTACAGCTAACAAATAAATCATGTTCTCCCTGACTCAAGTATCAATCAGTACACAACCAACGGATTTAGTCATAAACAGTCTGCATACATATTCAATTAAGGTTCTTGAAAAGTGGTAGTCCCAAGGTTTTGACGGCCGAAATTTTGCAAGGACCTAACCCGAATAATGTCAGTCGTTATATTCCGCCGACCTTCGACTAATCTCCGATTGCTACATTAACTACAGGCCGCTAGAGGGCACAAATTATTCGAGTTAGTAAGGACCGGCACAATTTTGGTATTTTGCAAAAGAAATAATAGTTAGAACCAGCAAATTTTCTTCAAGGACCACCAGGAAAAAAACAGATGTTGAGAACTCTTTTATATACAAAGATAATCCAGTTTGGTTACTTTAAACGATAGACAAGATGTCATTTTTGATCATATACCAGACAAACATTGACAAATTCTTGTGTAGTTTAAGATTGAAAATCAAATGGTCGGAGCTTTCAGTCGAATTCGTTTAGCTAAATTTAGTTAGGAAAGCATAAAGAAACACTGTCGCGAACACATCGATTTCTTCCACCTATTTTTCTGTGTTTTTACACTTCCAAAACATAGCACACTATTACAGGAATAAACTGACGTAACTAAATTTTCTAATAAATCATCGTAGACTTCATTTATGTCATCCAACATAAAATTTTCTGCTATACTTGATGGAAATTGAATTTGTGTTTTCTTGCTTCTTCAACAGAATATCTCCAGAAAAGGTCTAGATTCATTTGTTTATACTCTTCATCAGAAGACATTCTTGAAATGTACAGAATAGACCAATAAAACACGCCCTTGGTCAATTAAGATTGGAGTCGAGCGCACCTGCCATTCGAACTAACAACCGCAGTTTTGATAGGCTAATGATGCAGTAGTTGGCCAAAAATAAAAAGACAAACAGACAAATAATAGTACAGATGACACAACATAGAAAACTAAAGACTAGGCAACACGAACC